GTAGCTGTAAGGTCAATGAATTAAGAATAATATAAGTACAGTACACGCGTAGGTAATACGCATGCCTACAAACGATAACATTGTGAGAGTAAATAAAAAAATCTTATATAAACAGAATAGGCATAACGTGATCACGTAATGCATGTTTCAGTTACATTCTTATGAAATTACAGCGAGATGTTTGTATACTTAACATGGAGATAATACACTAGATATGTGTTACATAATTACAACTATAAATATCCCGGGTAAAATGGTGAAATTGTGGAATGATATAAGTAACTGCCACGTTTTCATTATTTTATTTAATCGTCATCTTCAGTAATGCAACATAACCACTGCAAAGTAAGATCTCTTCTCGCACGGTGTAGCACATTGCTTCTTGTGCATTTTACGAATCCGTCACCACGTTCACTCATGATGGGGATTGATGATTTGAAATACATAATAATATATCTAATTAGGAAATGTAACAAGTCTACGTTTTTTCACACAATTTTACTTCAACATACGTATGACAGGTTTCGGACTGCACCCTCTTGCATGAGGAGCGGGCGCCTCCTTTCGGACCTTTACAAGCTTGATCATTTGACCATCATTTTCATATTCGTAGCTAATATCAATATTATTCGAAGTTTTTTAACCAGGTAGGTAGGCAGCTATCTAAAACCTTTCTATGCGGTACCTACAAGAAAGCATATCAGATTTCTTATCTCAATTAAAATGCTCCTTTCAGAAACTAGGTTTCCGATAAGTTCGTTGCTATGTTTCAGCATTGACGTCATAGTATTTGCGTGCACTTGCAACTTGGACATAATTTACATAACGCTGAGAGGAGGCGCAGGCATCTCGTCATTCTGCCGACTACATTGACGCTCTTCCGCATATATTGAGGCCGGTTCACGCGGTTCATCGTCGCTTTAATTGATTGCACTCCATCGCTCCTTACTCCCTGTTATTGCGAGACTAACTTGCTCCTTAAATGCTGTTCACTTATCGACATCAGAGCAAAGTACTTTGGACCTATCATGGTTTATGGGACGCATAGCAACAATTTATATGTAACAGTGCCTTATTAGGGCTTGCCGTAATGTTTTTTCCTTTTTTTTACAATTGGAAATTAAATCCTAAATCGATTATAGCTAGATTTAGGTAAATACCAAAAATTTTTGAGTAAACATTAAAGTTTAATTTTGTGTAATGTTAACTCAGCAATTTGTTACCGAGTATCTTAGATTACCATCGTAATCACGTGCATATGTCATAATTACCTATCATATCAATCTCCTCATTTTCAGCAATAGATATAATAAGGAAATTAAACTTTATTATTTTTGTGTTCAAATGTTTATTTATTGTAACATACTATTTTTGCAAAATGAATCCTGGTTAGTCTCTCTTCATGCTACAGGTACCTATAGGTATAGACAAGCAACTTGTACCGTCTTGTTTTCATTTTAAAGATCAAAGTGTCAATTAGCCAGTTATGCGATGATAAGCTAATAGCGAATTTGTATAGGAGTTGATGAATAAAAATGAATAACTTGATGTCTGCCAATAAATTAGCAGCCGTCGTCTGTGTTGTAGAAAATGTATCTCTGAACCTAGACGGCGGCGCGTAAGATTTCGACGAGACACAAAACATAAGCATAAGTTCTTAGTTGTGATAGCTTCCGTCTCCTTCAACCGACTTCTGCATCTCCCGATCGATATCTAGACTGTCGGCTCGACGAATACTATACGACCTTTCACTGTGATTCTTTTATTTGCTACCAAGTAGAGGCAAGAACTGAAGTGTGTAGTTACCAACCAACATAAACAGTATAAACAGTTCGATAACATCAATGTCATTGCAATTAATTAACATTTTAAGACCCGATTCAAGGATTTTAACGAAAGTCAACGAACGCATTTAGCCATTCGGATACTTATTCGATAGCACCTATTGAATCTAGTTTTGGACTACTCCTAATATAGAATATGAAACCACAAGATTTAAACACCTCCAGGTCAATACACCTCAAGAATTCATTCGTCATTGAAATGTGTTGAGATGGATAGAAGTTGAGCTTATTGAATGATATGACATTTCTTACGAGAGCAATGGAATATGAAGACGATTTTGAGATTGAGTAGTGTTGAAATGAAATATAATTGGAGATTGTAGGCAGACTGGTATAGACAGTGTGCTTCCCTGCAGAGTATCGCGATGGCGCGGGCGGCCGAGGGCGGCGCGCGATTCGTTTTGCTCCCCGAAGGCCGACCAGTCCCGGTCGTCTCGCCGCATCGGATATGTGTCACTATAACACTATACATACGTCTGCTTCCCTTCGTGTGACTTCCACACTGAGACTTAATATTGAAACAAAAAGATTCTGTGGATCGTGACCCTAACGCATCTCCCATTTTCGATCATTTGCTCCAAACTCATTGTTTTACTAAACCCTTAGTAAGTTCTAGTAAAAAAACTACCAAGTAACAAATACATGCTTGTAATGAAAAATGTTTTATGTAGGTATTACGTAGTTAGATATAAATAATTATTGAAGTAATCTTAAAGTTCAAGCGAAGCTAACTAAAGCATCAATGAAGCTTTGTATGTCATTTGGCAAACAGAAAGAATGACAATAAATTCAAACCAATCAGGAAACAAGACCTTTAATGTTCTCAGAAATCAATCAGAGCTGACAAACTAGCTTTTTATATCAATTGATGAAATACCAACGTCGACACGAAATTTATAGAAAAACAACTTGATTGAGTTCTCAAAAGTGTGTGGGACATACGCGTAGGCTTAACATATAACACTATAATATAGAACGCCGTTTGTAACTAACAAATATCGCTAACGAAGATAGAAAAAAACAACTTTACAATACAATTTAATTGCAAAATGATCAAATGAAAAACGTGTCCTTGTGTGAGGTTCAAGGCAAACGGTGGGTCGGTGGTTAGCGCGTCATCGCCGATACAAAATTTTGTACAGACTATGGTTTACGATCCAACTCAGCAATCCATTATCATACTAATAGGGTAGTTTTAGCCAAGTAACCAGTTGTGGAAGGCCATCGATACCGCAAAAGTGAAGCAGTAAAAAAACAAAATCACAAAGTGCGATCATATGTAGGTGGGTTTTATCGTTGATCGAAAGGAACCTATGGATTTATTACGGGCATACTAATTAGCAGATCCCTTTTAATTAAAAACCTACCTTGCGATGTCTTTAGTTCGTAGTTCTCTGTTTAATATTTAATATCAAACAGATATTTTAAAAAAACATTCCGTTTTTGAACTGTCGAGAAGTTATTAACTTAACAATAGCAACCTAAGTTCGCAATGGCTTATAAATATTCATGTCATAATAAAATTAATTAGGTTCATCAACGTCTAGAAATTTGAGACAGGATAATAACATTGATGAACATCCGGTCACCGGCTTAACACATGTTTTAAAACGAGGAGTCACACGTGACACCAGTTACTCCACCGAATATCGCCAAAATTATACTTACGACAAAGCTACTTTTACTCGTTCATTTTACCAAGAATCCAATTCATATAAACGCAAATATCTTTTCCCAGACAAATAAATTGAATCAATAAATAGCCATTATTATTGTTACAACCGCTGTTTTCTAAATCAATGTTGTGAGACGACCAATATCGTTTAAACATCGTTCGCAATTATTCTTAATTAGTACCGGGTAAAAAATTAACCTTGAATCGGAGGCAGGAGTAAGCGACCGATTGAATATTAATAATATAGCGATGAGTGAACAATTGCTGAATATTCAACGTCTCGGTCAAGCAGTCTCACGCACTCCTGGTTGCCGAGAACTGTTTGGTAATAGGAAGCGACAGACACCACCATACTACACGACCACGACAGTAAAAATAGGGAAGATTTTAAGGACAGGCATTATTTTCCCCACACATTTCGCTTTTTACATATAATCCAAGATACTAACTATAAACCAATCTTCGGTACCAACCTACGTCTGAAAACCATTTCTACTCGAACCTAACGAAACTATGATAAAATACTTACTTGTTCATTAAGAAAGCACTAAAACATGTACCCAGTTTTTGTTAATGAAGTAAAATGTGGGCTATCTCTAAATATAGGTCGCTATTTGCATTTTAATTATATAGTTTCTTTAAAGGTCAGAAACTATCAACCAATTACCAGCACACGAAGGAAGTTGTGAACTTTACGAAAGTATTTCAACCGTAACTTTAGTTATGGATGAATTATCCAGTTTACTTAATTGTTAGCCGTAGGTCCTGCACTAAATGGATCAAGCATTCTTGTTAAGTATCTATGATACAGGCTTTTCGTTTAAACTGCTTAACCGAGCAAAAATTCTATAAATTAATTGCGCCTCGTAAACTAAACTGCACCCATTTAGCAACTACTTACACTATTAAGTATTACCTACTCTTTTCAAAACGTATAGGGCGAATTTTACATGCAACAATTTAAACCTTTTTTCGCGACATCCACATAAAGAAAAAACACCTATTAAAAATTTACTTCCAACGTAACTTCTCCAAAACACGCAAGCTAAGCGTAGCGCTTCATAATTCGCAAGAAAAATGTCTGAATAATGTATATTTTCTACTTGCAGCCGTAACTTCATACACTTTATGCCTCGACTGGATCTTTGTGTCCGGGATAACGCAGAGAAAACTAAACACATAAATAAAATATACAACATTATTTATAATCTTATAACATAAAGAAAAACTTGTTCATATTATAACAGCTAAGCATAGTAAGTTTATATCTAGTCTGGACCATGTACTCGTGTTACCTATTTCAGACGCAGTCTATGAATTAAGTGCAAAAAAATAATTACCTACGTGCTTGCTCGCCTGGTACATAACTACGTACGCTTTATTAAAAATTAAAAACTTAAAGCGTTACGGCCATAAATAAAATTGGGAACCGTGTACAAAGACTGTATTTTTTTTATTTCAATTATAGATAATAAACTTACCCAAAAGCTCTCTACGTAGTGAGAAAAAAGGAAAACTCCCGGAAGAGACATCGTAGTCAGCTAAACTTCACAACTAGAATGACAGAGGGAACACGCCGCGTTTTTTATTTATACACTTTTTGTTTACTAACATCACATAGGAATTCCTTTATCTGTGTCGATAGGTAGCTCATACACGAGGTCGCTCACGGGAGTCGCCCGGGCAGCCCGCGAGCCTCGTCACTAGCGACTGAGAATCCGCCAACACGTTGCGCCCCTATATACCTACTTACTTCTTGTTTTGCCTGAATGATTTATTTGGATTGTGGATATCGAACAGCAAGTTTGCGTTGCATATGAACAGTACACACGTGACTAACTAATCGTCTTGTTCGACTTTATTAATTACCGGCCGCCGTCGCTAAATATTAATTACATTTACTTAAAATAGTCTTAATCTTTTGGGAATGCCAAGGTCATAAAAAGTAAGAAAATTAGTAATATCTTATAGGAACCTTACTTCTCGAGTACCTAGGTACTTATTCTTATCTATTCCTAAAGATTCCTTACAAGGTCATTAGTCGCACTCGGTATTACACATCAGAGAATCCTGAAAGTGATGCCGCAAAGAGAATCTTTTTCTATTGAGCATGATTAAGATGATGATATTATAATAATTAAAGTGTTTTTATTAAAAACGCACAAATATGGAAACAATATTCTTAGGTAGACACAAGCGTCATCTACCTACTTCTCAAATTTATTAAAAAAAAACTAAAAGGAACGAGATGAAATTAGACCTTGCCAAATATACCGAGGTCACCTTGTATTTAGCTCCCGGCAAAAGTTCGAAGGACGCCCGGGTAGATAAACTACACGCTAACAGCCAATACGAATTACCGACATATTTTTTTAATAATGTTCATGTCAAGTTGTTAATTTATATGGTTTTAAATTGCTATAAATATTTAAACAAAAATAACTTTATGCACTCTGTATAAATTAAATATGGCCACCAGTTCATTCATTTCATCTTTGTTTTGGAATATTCTTAGAAATCTTTAGTACATTGGCACACTTAATATTATTATGTAGGTACCTCAATTCGCCGAAGGCTTATTGTAGAAAAAATAATTAGCACAGCTTGTCGCTTACTTACGAAAGTTCCAAATAGGTACAACAAAACAACCTGGAACAATCCTGCTACGAAGATTAGTTAAAACCTCGATTCATGAAAATATTATTTTCTGAAAAATAAATGAGTGTGCTATAAAATAATTTTATCAATCGTATAACGTAGACTAGTAATTAAAATAATTTATTTCGGAACTTACTAATATTTTATAATAATTATTAACTTTATTGGTCACGAGAGCGGCAAAATGTAGGTAATACAACGATTTAAAAATGGCACAGTTTTGAATGTTCCCGCTTTTAAATATTCGTTTCACCAAATGACGTTTAATTTATTAGTCATATAGTGTCCCTAAAATGATTTAAATTTTAATAAACACAAACAACATTTAATATTCACTTCCTTTGTGACTTGTCTTATTCTTATTTAATTTTATAAATCCCTTTCTTTTTATTTTCTGCACCAGTAAAAACTTCCCCTAAATTATCTACGGTTCTTTCCAAAGAGTATGTAACCACTACGTTTAGTTCTTTCTACACAATAAATTGTTGTATATAAGCCGTCGTCGAACATTAGGTATAGCTTGATTTTGTTTTTCAGTTTAGTTTTATATAAATTTTATAATAATAATATCGTTTTTATTTGTAAATGTTGATTTGATTTGAAACAAAATTATATTTAATTTAAAATTTTCGATTTGCAAACCTTAAGAATGAAACGTCTGATGAAGGAAACGTCAAAAACTTAAGTTTCAAACCTTCAAACTGACACTTACGTTTACGTTTCATCAGTTACGTCTGCCTTGTTGTATTTAGCACAATAACTGGAAAAGAAACATCAAAATAATTATACGATGCTAGACCTTACATAACACAACACCGTCATCGTCTTATTCTATACGTTCAGGTCAAAGGCTATCGATATTGTAAAATTGTGACTACAAATATAAAGGATAAGACTAATAGTAATTCATAAGGACATATATTTTTGAAAAGTATTTTAAAATGCAGTTCAAAAAAGTCACTCATGTGTTGTTCGATTTGGACGGATTATTGCTGGGTAAGATTTTAAAATTAAATATTTTACCATGACAATTACAAGATTTACGGTTGATGAAATAAATTCAGTATGAAGCAATGATTGTGCAATTCTAATATTGGTTTTATGTATTATATGTTTTCAGATTCTGAAATATTATACACTGAAGCATTTACTAATGTCTGTGCAAAGTACGGGAAAACCTTTACCTGGGAAGTCAAAGCTAGCCTCTTGGGATTTCAAGGTCATGAATGTGCTGAAAGAATAATAAAGACATTGGACCTACCAATCACCAAGGAGGAATTTATGAAGCAGAGTTTCGAATATTATGAGGTACTGTTCCCTAAAGTGCAGCTTATGCCAGGTAAAATTAAATTTGGAAATCAACTGCATGATGTGTGTATTGAATATTGTAAATTAACCTGAAATTTTCTGTATTACTATGATTCAATCTGTTTCAATTTAAATGTTTTACTATATCTATTTAAATAAAACTTTATCCATTAATAATTAGGTAAGGTTTTACACACCAAACAAATAATGTATCTAGATATGAACTGATCAATATTAATTACTCCTTACAATACTTACTCAGTAATGAGTTAATGCCCTGCTGGTAGCTGCCATTCTAAGCAGAATTATTTTAACAAAATAGTTTACCGAAACTAATTATGTTCTCTTACTAATCAATAATTGTTATTAAAGGTGCTCAAAAGTTAGTGGAACACTTGCATCGGAAAGGAGTTCCAATAGCCTTGGCCACCAGTTCCAGTAAGGACAGTGTAGATATGAAGATGCAGAACCACCAAGAGTTCTTGAGTCTGTTCCACCACCTGACCATGGGATCAACCGACCCTGAGGTCACTAAAGGCAAGCCAGACCCTGCCATATTCCTTGTCTGTGCATCTCGGTTTCCTGATAAGCCTAAACCAGAAGATGTAAGTTGGAATATTAAGTTTTTAGCCCTATTATTTAATTAATGACACAAAGAAGGTTTTACTAATAGAAAATGTGTCTTTTACAGTGCCTTGTATTTGAAGATGCTGTAAATGGTATTAAAGCTGCCAATGCTGCCAACATGCAAGTGGTAGCTGTGCCTGATCCCCGCATTGAGGCTGAACAACTGCAGACTGCTACATTGGTTCTGAAATCCTTGGAGGATTTCAAACCTGAGTTATTTGGTCTTCCAGCTTACGATAATTAGGATATATTCATATTTATTTGCATACCATAATGTTACAAGGGGTATAAAGTTATGTACATATTATGGACCCTATTAGGGCACAGCAAAAGAAGGCATTAATAAGTTTAATTATATTATTAGGTACAATAGTAGATATACCGCAAGTTTGGGTTACTTTGACCCTGGGGGTAACTTTAATCCAAATTTCCGAACCAATTAAAAACGAATATATGTTTGGTTCTCAGTTATTATTGGTTAAAGGGTTTGAATCAAAATTACCCCGCAGGGTCAAAGTAACCCGAACATACCCGGTAATTCATTAGACTATTTTTTTGTCAACTGAACTAAAAATGTCGGTTTTGTCATTTCTATACGCTAACACCCAATCATCATCTTCATCGTGTTTAACTTTTCAATCTTTTTGATATGTAAAAATATGTAATGATTCCCGAGATATTGTTCCATCATGCCTGGTATGCCAATGGTTACAATATTGTGTTTTACTCATGTATCTGTATGCCTCAATACTCTTCAGAAAGTCATCAATATGTGTTTCATACTACTAGGTTCATCTCCCGTCCATTTATGACGATCAATGGCCCCCTCTATGCCTCTGCCCGACATTGTAACTACTACACAAATTCACTTATAATAATTGTGTTATAAGTACTTGTTGGTGCTTGTATGTAAATGTTGTCAATTTGTCAATCAACATATTTATGGATCAGTACTTATTATTTTAATTACAACTACTTAAGTAGAACTTAATATTTTTCTGGTGTCACATTGTTAATTGATAAACATTTAATGTTTTTCGATGTGTATTGTATAAAATACAGACAGTATTACACCTCCTTCCGTACCTGAATATGTTAAACATTGACCTCTCTATATATCTAGTCATATTTGAAATAAAAAACAAAACTGCACAGCACCATTACATAGTTTTATTTCAACAATTAAACTAAACTACAATAATTATAATATTTATAATTAATAGTCAACACATTTTTGCAAGCTTAAAGACTAATTACATTTTAAAATATTGGCTATGTATGTACTTTCTTTCTACTCTTTATATGGCGGCAAACCAAATTGTTCTGGTTTAAAGTCAGCAATGGAGTCCAACACTAGTGTAGCCTCCGAAGTAAGAGAGCGATCCAGACGCGGGTCAGGTACCATGACGACTTGCATACCAGCCGCACGCGCAGCCTTCACTCCGTTGATGGCGTCTTCGAACACCAAACACTAAAATGAAGGTAAAAACAAATCAAAATCAAATTCACGATACTTAACCCTTTCTATCGTTGTAATTAGAGACACAATAGGCACGCGAACTCCGGCGTTCGCTTAGGGCTATTGAGAAAATGTTATTGTTAACGATTAGGTACCTATGTATCTTGTTGTATGTTTATTTAAAATTGATAAAAGTTTATCCTTTTAACTCCGGACCAACGAGGTGGAAGATTCTTCGTTGGTCGAATGGTTGCAAGTGCTACTGCCACGGGATTTGCGTTCGTTTCCCAGATCTTGCAAAGTATAACTCTCACCACTAAAGAAAGGCTCATAAAATCATTAAGAAGTGGGTGTGCATTATATGTGGCGTTATATGAAATTATGTGAACCTCTGTCAACCCCGGAATAAAAAGAATTAGCTTGCCTGAAGTTAGCGCGTCATACGAGTATTATAGCAAAATCTCGTATTTTAAAAAAATCGGCTGTGTTAACGTAAATACTTTAGTCAATTCCGCATTATCATAGGGATCGAAACTACCTTCTCGGGAGATGGTTTGTCAGGGAATTTGTTGGCTGCTACAAAGAAAATGTCGGGAGATGGTTTGCCCTTCTTCACGTCAGGATCAGACGTTCCCCACGTTTTGTAAGGAAACAGGTCGAATAGCTCTTGATGATTGATAGCCTTCAAATCGTACGATTCCTTACTACTACTTGTAGCTAATCCAATAGGAACATTGTGGTCATGGAGGTGGCGGACTAGTCTCTCAACTCCTGTAAAAATAAAAGTTAAAATTTAACAACTAGAAAATCTTTGCAAGTGGGAGTCCGGATTCACATACAAGGAGCCCCTTGAAATGATATTATTTTTTTAAACTACCACCTTCATATTTAAATGGTTTTAGTACGGTATTTCTTGTTTTATTGGTCATGGAACCCATCTAAGCGAATGGTATAGACGAACGCATCTTTTTAAGTGCGAAGTAACGTATGTGAGAATACTGAGAATATAAACCGTTAATATTATGAGTGACAAATTTTTAATCATAACACGATAAAATCTTACATTGACAAGATAAGTTCTTACCAGGCATAATCTTGCATTGCGGGAATAATTTATCGAAAATCACTCGAGTTTCTGTTAAGAACTCATCAACTGTAAGTGGGAGGCCAAGGTCTTCGATGATAATACCCGCAAACTCTTTACTTTGCTGACCCATAATCTTACATTTCAATTCAAATGTAAATTCTTTTCCGAAACGAGATGCTACTTGTTGGAATCCTATAGTATACAGCTCCTCTGTATCTGAAAAGTCAAATTCCCTATTTAAATACATGTCGGCATTAGTTATAATGTAATAATGATTGATTCACACTTACTTAGTAACAACCCATCCATATCAAACAAAACATGTGTCACAGGTTTAAACATTTTTATTTATTTAATATCAAATATAAATGCAATAAATTAATTACTGTAAAACCCTGTTGTATTTCACAATCTGTACTTTGTGTATGGCTTCTACAGTTATGCCATATGACTGAGATGTTGTTATGTTAATTTATATCTTATCTTAAATGTCTGTCCAAGCCTTTACATAACTAATATGTAGGTAATTAAATCACAGCAATGGTTTTGTACATTTAATGATATTATGCCACTTATTATTTATTTTAAGGATGCAATCAGTAAACAATAAAGTGAAGTATTTTATATTTTTAGACACTGTGTACTCTACCCATAACCTGGCAGAATTTAGTAACCATTCACTTTATCATACTTTACAAACTATTAGCATAATCACACATACATCTAAATTATTTTCAAAATTTTACAATCCAATTTACTTTAATGATGGATTTTACAGTTTTGGAAGCCCTGAGGTTAACGCACCCAGTTCTTCAAAACCACCACTGACATATGGTGAAGGAAAACTTCATGAAATTTGAAATCGCCAATCCGCCTTGAGCAAGTGTGGTGATTAATTAACCTTCTCTGTGTGAGGAGAGACCTTTGCTCAGCAGTGGACACTTATAGGCTGATGATGTGATGTGATGTTTTTACAATAGTGTAAAATTATAAATTAATGTACTCAGTGCAAATAGAGTTTTTCTATGTAACATTTAACTTAATTTACAGGGCAATACCATATGTAGGTATGTTAATAAATATAGCATAAATAAAAATAAAATTAACCACAATCCTAAAATTCACTATAGATTTAACAAAAAATTTCATGTCTGAGGTAGACAATCCACCATACCTAATGATAAAAAGTAGTATTTGGCTATATGTATAATATTTTTAAAATTGGAATGGTGGTAAACCAAAGAGTTCAGGTTGAAAGTCTAGTAGGCTGTTGATCACTAGAGTAGCATCACTTGTCAGCTCCTTAGGTACCCTGGGATCTGGTACCATAACAACCTGCATGCCAGCAGCTTTGGCTGCCTTCACTCCATTTACTGCATCCTCAAAGACAAGACACTAAAAAACATTGAAGGAATTTATTTTTATGCGAGAGTTTTCCAATGGTTACTTTTTGTCTAAGTTAAGAATTGTTGCTTGTTTTGACTGAAAAATGTTTGAAATAAGTTTATACCTGTTCTGGCTTTGGTTTAGCAGGAAATTTATTAGCAGATACCAAAAATATATCTGGATGTGGTTTCCCATTCTTTACTGCAGGATCGGAAGACCCAAATGTCTTATAAGGAAATAGATCAAACAAATCTAAATGATGCTTGTTTACTTTCAAATCATAACTTTCTTTGCTTGAACTTGTTGCTAGTCCAATTGGAACATTGTTTTTGTGAAAATGTTCAATCAGTTGCTTGGCACCTATAAAAAGATAGCCATGAGTCATAATGTCTTTCTAAATAGTGTTAACTCTTTGTACTTGTCATTTACCTGGCATCAATTGAGTTTCAGGAAATAACAATTCAAATTGTTTTTTACTTTCTTCAAGAAATTCTTCAATGCTCATTGGTAACTGGAGTTCAGATACAATCATTTTAGCTGTTTCATGAGATTGCAATCCCATTAATTTTAGTTTCAAATCAAAAGTGTAATTTTTCCCATAACGCGAGACAATATTTTGAAATGCTTCTGTGTACAACTCTTCTGTATCTATAAACAGGGTGAAATAATGAAATGATGAATTTGTCTACCTCAGACAACACAAAGCTTAATGTTACAATTTAAGTATGTAATGAACAACAACATTTTGAAGCATGTTCAGAAATTAAGTTCTATCAGAAATCTAAAACATAAATGGAAGTAATAGATTAAGTAGTAACAGTGACAAACTAAAATAACAAGCTTGTGTACATTATCGTTATAACGACAAATAATATTCGTCCCAAAACTTACTCAATATCAAACCATCCATATCGAAAAGAACGTGTGTCACCGGATTAAACGCCATTTCAACCAGAAATTTAAATTATTTTTAACCAAATATTTATATTTTTGTAACCTAAAAAAGTCGACAACGAAAGATTACTTAAGATTTTAGCAATGTAGCTTTAACCCTGACTGGCCGGCCGGCTGGCTGACCGGCTAACCACTGATCAAGAAATAATTTTAAATACCAAGAATAATTTCATTAAAAATAAAAAATTGCAAAAAAAGGATTATAAAATAACAAGTAGAAGATTGATATTGATTGTCGAATGTCATTAGCAATTTCAATTTTAATAACAATGTGTCCTGTGAAGTCCTGTCGTAGTGTCGTCTGTCCAATTGACAAGTGTTGTCAATTGTCACTTCTTCATCCATTTTACGCAGGTTAATTTTTGTAGTATTTATGAATATATTTATATTCCTTAATGCTACAAATAGGACTAATTCCTACAACTTTTACATAAATCAGTAATTATTAGATATTCAATGAATTTGTCAAGAAATATTGTACTAAAAAATAATACCATAACGTGTCGTCATCGTCATTGCGAATGGATGTGCGAATCTCAGAATACAGAATCTGTATTCTGAGGTGCGAATGAATTAACGACTTGTATTCAACGTCAAATAAGCCTTAAAAAATACAATTTTGTTTATCAACCAGATGTAACATAGGTATTATAGACCAGATAATCACTAACATATCATCGCTTCATCACAACATGCATAGTGTGGGAGAGCCATGCTTCGGCACGAATGGGTCGGCTCGACCGAAGCGATACCACTGCCTCACAGAAATCTGGCGTGAAAAGACCACAGCGTTGTGTTTCGCGGTTCGCCCACAGATATTAACTATCTTAGATGTGTGAGTGAGGATATTTGAATCCCAATCATTCCCCTCCCCCAAACTCTTCCCAATCCCTTATCCCCAAAAACTCGGCAACGCACTCGTAACTCTTCCGTCGAGCCCATGGGCGGCGCTGGTTGCTTACCATCAGGCAATCCGTCAGGTTGTTTGCCGTCTTATCACATTGTAAGTATTGCATCTGAAAAAAATCCCTGCTCTTCGTCAGAACCGCTAAGGACTGGAAGTCCTCCCGAAGTCTTTGTTCCTTGAAAGGTATAGCCGGAGCCATTAGCATGCTCCATCGTAAGTAGCATAATCGCTTACCACCAGGCGAAATGGAGTAAAAAAACACAGTGGTAGTGTTGCATAGACCTAAGGTAGAGTAGCAGACGAAACAAGTAAAAAATCGTGAAGCCAATATACATAGTCGGTAATAGAATAGAAAGCAATTTTACTTTGCAGGAACTAACTACTGTTAACTAATGTTTATTTAATTGCCCCTACACTCTGTCAAAATGAGAACCAGTGTCGCCAAATTCACATATTCGCAAATAAAATTCTCCAATACACTCAACAACAGCTATGTAATTGGCTACAAAGTTCAAACGCAACTTTAACAAATCATCTTCGTAATGCTGCCAAAAACTGAACGAGCAAAAGTTGTTATCATTTCACATGAAACAATAAATAAAGACGTCTATCGTTTAAAAAAACCATATACCTACGAAGGGTGCAGCCGCTCAACTACCCGTATTATTTATTATGTCTATTATCCTTGCATTCAACGCTTGATATCGCTGTAACCAATTCATTCTATTCGGAACGCTAGCTACTTTAATATAGATGGTATATTTGCATGCACATGCAGTGCAGCAAGAGACGTTGCTCAACGTCTCTTGCTGCTTAGACAGGAACGTAACGCAATATATCGATGTTATATAATTTATCGAGCAGCAGTATAATTTATCGAAATTATACAAATCTTCAGTAATGGAAAAAGGTCCTATTATCAAAGGAAAACAATAAAACAAGATTCTACTTTTCTGAAGATGGCCGAGTTATTATTAAAGACTTCGATTTGGAAGTTTGTATGTAGAGTGTATCTCTGAAACTACTAAACCGATTCTGAAAATTCTTTCTCTCATATGTAGCTGCATTATTCTTAAGTGCTTTAAATAGGCCATGAATAATTTTCATATAGGTAATATAATTTTAACTATACGCCGGCGAAGCCGCAGGCACAAACTAGTGTTCAATGAAACTTTATAGACAGTAGGCACTTATTCAAAATATTTATTGACCTTGAAATACCTAATCACATATTTATGATTCGAAACTCGCATAGGAAAAAAAATATTCAAGTACCTACAATTACATTTTAAACATACAAAAAGAAAAAATTAAACAATAGAACAACAAAAGTAGATACCAAGATAAAATAAAAGACCTGTGCGCGGGTCAGAAAGATCAAACAATTTGATTGTTTTATATTCAATTATTATAAGTGATGAAAGCGTATGTTTGTACCTATATTTTGCTGTTGCTTTCATTAAACCGGTAATATGACGAGACCTCCTTTTAAAAATATTTCGGACATCTTACAGATCCTAATAACCTACACCTTCTGATGGATACTAACAACCAACATTTACCGTACCGACCTTAACATTGGTATTTTTTAAGTTTTCGATGTCTTCAGTTTTTAAGGCTAATTTCTTTTGTAAGGATTTTAGATGTTCTTCCATACTCTTGATTTTCTTATTCAATCTAAGATTTTGACTTTGTAAACGTTTGACTTTTTTATTTTGTTTGTTGAGTTTACTTTGAGTCCACCTTAACTGTTTTAGTAAATTTATTTCTCTTGGAGTCAAATTCGTAGGGCTATCTGTCAAGTCAGAGGTTATAGCTTGATGAGCCTTCTTCGTTAGTATCACATGTGTAGGACTTGTTAGTGGTGAGGATCCTTGATGCCGTTTTCTAGAAGAACCTGGCTCATTACCTATCGAATTAATATAATCCTAAAATAAAAATATATATATACATGAGTGGGACTAAAATAGACATTAAAAAAAATAAGAGTAGGTAGGTATAGGTACGGACAAAATAAGAGCGGACAAAATAAAATGAAAGTGTCGTTCTCAAGTAACGTGGGACAATATCCTGCAAGGAGATGATAATGATAGGCTGTTGCTGTAGAATGCCTGTAATCTATCAGCTTGAATCGAAATAAGTACTTGCGAAAACTTTGCTTTGCTTATTGGTTATCCTGACTTGACAAATATCATTCTGCAGTCTCAAGCACAGGCGTTTATTTGCAGGCACGTGAATTACACGTCTTGATTCTGGCATCACTATTCAACATCAAACATTCTGAAGTGCAGTAAATGTTGTGAACACGTTTACGTTGTCAACACATCTGCGGTTCAGACTGAGCATGTCGACTCGTCGTTTATATTGCATACAGTACGGCCGACGTGTCTTGGCGAGTCTGAAGTTAGCCGTTTGTCTGCGCAATGGATCTTTTAGGAACAAAATTGTGTACTGCGCAGCTAATCCGCTAACTTCAGGCTCGCCAAGATACGTCAGCGCTATTGTACATAGAAGGTTTGGAACAGCTTGCCTGCAGCGGTACAAGTTAACAATTCTGTATTTTTAAAAACTGATTTAAGAATAATCGTACCTTAAAGATTAAAATGTTTTTAGTAGGTATTGCTTTGTCGTTTAAATATCTGTATCCTTTCTTTGAAATTTCTATATCCTTATCTTCGAAATGGTCTGAACATAAAGCGCTTGATTTAGATGGCATCCAGTTTTGTCTTCCAGTAGCGTCTATCCATTTTTCTTTAATAAAAGGATCTTGGGGAAAACTGAAATATTTAACGAACCTACATTTTATTTCCTTGAGCATCAAAATTAAAAAAAATGGTCTGTTAAGTTTCACACTACTTATGTGAAATCTTATGGTCTTTATTAGCTACAACAGGTTCGGCCGGCGTAAAAATAAGGAATACCTAATAGTCCCTTCACTGAAATTCTTTTAGCCTTTCGAGCGTGACGAAATAACAAACACAAACGTTTAACTTATAAGTTATATACCTACACCATGTATTATTGTTATGGATATAAACCTACTTAATGGCACACCTGACCTTAATACAAGACAATCAGGTAGGTACAACAAAAAGTGTACAATAAGCGGTGTGAGCACGGAACAGAAAAAACAGTGGAAGTCCAATGCACCGAAATTACTATAGGAAACACTGTCGCCAAATTCACACAAATTAGTTGTGTGAATTCGTGTTCGACAGTCATGTGTGGCACTGCAAAGAAACAATTCGTTTGATTGGCCTAAAACCAGCAATAGAACAAAATTGAAGTATATATAAAATTTGTTATTAACCGTCTCATTTTATGGTTACATCGCCAATGGTTAGAAACCCCATTACTTACTAAGTCTCCGCTGTCCGTCCGTCCATACATAATGGTAAGGATCTAACTAATAGTAGTACTCAGGAACATTGTAGCTATCTATCAGTGAAAGAATTTTTGCAATCCGACCAGCGGTTCCAAAGATTACCCTACATACAAACTTATAATTTTTTTTATTTTTATGTAGTTGGTCGGCAAACGAGCAGACGGATTACCTGATGGTAAGCAATCAGCGCCGCCCATTGACACCCGCAACGGAGGATTTACGAGTGCGTTGCCGACCTTTTAGGGATTAGGGATTTGGAGATTTAGGGATTGAGGAGGGATTGGGGGCGGGGAAGGATTGGGCCTCCGGTAACCTCACTCACACGGCGAAACACAACGCTGTGGTTGTTTCTTCTGTGAGGCCGTGGTATCACTCCGGTCGAGCCGACCCAATGCATTTACGACTTGATAAATAAAGAAAGAAAGGAAAAACGTTTAATCGTATATCAAAAATACAGTATAAATATGTATGATAAACACAACAATATTTATTTCCTTGTATCGATATCAATCGATAAATTCAATATTTAACTTGACCACGTCACTAACTGAGTAGCAAAGAACTTTTGAGAATGTTCTATTGAATAGGATAAATACGTTGATGTTGACTAACCGTTTTATTTAAATATTCGTAAATTGAAACAAAATTAGACTTCTACTAGAAAAAAAAAGAAAATCATACTTACCGATGATACGAAATACCTGCATTTGTAAGATTCCTCTTACTACCTAACATTTTTACATTCCAAAACAGAACAATATAACAATAAGAGCATATTTACAGAAAAACGAATGTGCCGCGAGACTAGCAACTCGGCGCGATGTTAGAACGCAACTGTGTTAATGGAGCGTACCTAACAACTCTTAATGTTGGAACTTCTGCCACGCCTACTTAGCACTTCCACTGTTCTTTCTGTTCCGTCGTCGGTGGGCGTAAGTAGCAACCCGTAGGTACCTACTACAGACGGATGCACGCTACGTGTACCTAGATAAAACGTTGATTTTTTATGCGATCTTAGTTAAACTTTTATGAATTATACACAAAAATCGTCCGAAATCAATTTTCTGAATGATGGTGGTAGCATTAAACTGAAAAGTAAGAAATAAATAGAAATTATCGATACGAACCTACTTTACGAATGTGACCCATTCCTAATTGAGTAGCGGTCGAAGTTACTAGAATATCGTATTTTACGTCAGATAACGACCAAGTACATTTAAACATTATTTCAATGAACATAAGGCCGTTCATAGTTTGCATTGAAGTAATGAAATGTGGTATTATCATTAAAATATTAAAATCAAATACTTATATTTAAAGTTTAATAGGTACTTGCCGATGATACGATACACCTCCACAGGATACATTTTTTATTTTGCTTACGTTTTTACAAGTCAAAACCGCACAACAAGGCATGATTTGTAATAAAATTCGTGTATCTTAGAGACAACCACGGCAACTAATCATGACAACGGAACGAAAAAATCTGACGGCGAATAAGCAAAATGTTGATCATCTAACCATAATGTTGACCTGTAATTTTTTTTATTTTACTGTATTGACGTCTTTAATGTATAGATAAAAAACTTATTAGTATACCTACCTAGTAGTAGCGCAAAAAAGCAAAGTCTGTGTGCCGGTAAGGTCGATAAGATTCTTATCGACAAAATATCGACTCGTTCTTTTTCCTGATCGCAATACATTATTGCGCTTGCACTCGCATCTCCGGATATCATGACGGTGGACCACTCGAAACTAGGTTTTTTTTGCTATAGGAAAATCATCAAATGACTGCTCTCGCCCAGGGTTGGGCGGGAGGCAGTGGTAGTCTCTTACTAACTAAAAACCCCCCGTTCCTTCTCCTGCTCTACGAAGAAGCTGCGGTGCCTCTTAGCGCTTGACCCGCGATCCAAGATAATAGTTGATGTTGACACATTTTATAAAGAAAGAAAGAAAGAAAATATTTATTTGTGAGAATGTAGTACAAATATAGGTGTTTGTGTTATGTGTATGGAATCTCACACATTCTACCGAATTGGTGTACAAATTATTTCGCTTAATAGGTATCTAGTTATAACTATGCACTACTTATTCTAAGTCTATGATTTTTTTTTTTTTTTTTGTGAGGGGAAAATCATCAAATGACTTCTCCCGCCCAGGGCCGGGCAGGAGGGAGTGTCAGACTCTTACTGACTAAAAACCCCCCTGTTCCTTCTCCTGCTCTGTGCCGAGGTCGCGGTACCTTATTGCGCTTACCCCGCAACCCCGGCTGAACATCAGCCCTTTAGGGCCCCGTCTGTGGTGGTCTATTGGCTCTTTGAGGCGCGCGCGGAACGCTACGCGCCGTACGCTCGGGCCTGGTTCTGGTCGGGCGGCGAGCTGCCCTTACTCGCCGACCGCAGGCCCGTACTTACGGTGGCCGGAGATCGTTCCTCGATCCCCGACGCCCGTAGTGTCGCCAGTTGCGGCTGCTGGGGCGTGAGGAGGAGGATTGCTCCCTCACGCGGGCCGCCTCTCTCTTTGCGAGCATGACTGCTTCACAAAAGGAGGAGACGGCGTCCCAGTTCCTCTCACTCCGCACCATGGCCTCGACTAAGGCCGGGCGCGAGAGGTCGCCGCCGCCGATCACTTCCCTGAGGATACGGCGGTGCTCAGCCCAGGCAGGGCATACCGCTACCGTATGCTCCACCGTATCCTCTAGGTGGTCCTCACAATGACGACACTCGGGCGTTTCCTCCCGCTGAATCCGAAACAGGAACCTACCGAAGCTGCCGTGCCCGGTAAGCACCTGCGTCAGGCGGAAGGTGAGGACGCCGTGGCGTCTCTCAAGCCACTCCTCAAAGAGGGGTCTTACCGCTGCTATGGTAGCGTGCCCGCTGCTATGGTAGCGTGCCCGGTCTATGTCTATGATAGTCTATGATAGGTCATCTAAATAATCTTTAGTGGAATAATAACATTTATTTAGCAAAATCTCAAACAATTTTCTTTTAAAAGACATTAGGTTAAGATTTTTTAGGTCATTTGGAAGTTTATTGTAAATTTTGATAGCCATGCAATATGAGTTTCTGCTATATAATGTTGTGCGTTGGCTCGGTACAAATAATTTATTAGGGTATCTACTATTTCTACTAGTAACACATATTTTTTCTTAATAAAGAGATCCGGGTTTTTGTATACAAAAATAGAAATTTCGTAAATATACAAACAGGGCAAAGGCAGGATACAATTTTTTTTAAATAAAGGTAAGCAGCTGTCTAAGTAGTCTGCACCACATAATGCATGTAGACATCTTTTTTGTGCTCTAAATGCTCGGATTAGATCCACAGAGTTCCCCCATATTACCACTCCGTGGCGTAAAACTGAGGATACATAGCCGTGGTACGCACATAGTGTAGCATTGGGAGTCGCTACTTGTCTAAGTCTGTTCAAAACATAAACGTAAACGTATCCAGTCTAGAACAAATCTTATCTATATGTAGTTTCCAACTGCAGTGTTTGTCAATAGTTAGACCGAGGAATTTAGTTGAATCTACTTTTTCTATGGCTTTGCCTTTTTGAGTGATATTAAGAGAAATTTGGGTGCTGTTATGTGTTTGGAATTGAATTATATTTGTTTTATTTACATTTAAGTTTAAGTTGTTATTATTTAGCCATGTAGTTACGTTATCTATAGTGTTATTAATTTCTGTTTCGTACATATTTTTGTTGTGAGAGTGTATCACTAATGTGGTGTCATCCGCATATAAGATGCATTTGTAATTAGTTGAATCTGGTAAGTCGTTATTATAGACTAAGAACAATAGCGGCCCGAGAATACTACCTTAAACATTATATTTATGTTTATTCCACATTTTAAGAAGCTATTTATTAAAAAAATACAGATGTTGCAAATTGTAATATTGCAATGCAATTTTCAAAGGGTATAATAGGTAAGGAAAATAAAAAAAGTAACACAGAAGATTTTTTTTAAAGAGATACCTACGTTCGAGTATAAATTTTTTAATTCTATATTTTCTGTGGTTGCACGTTTTACTGCTGGTAACATTGGTAAACGATTTTCAAAAACTTGTTTTGGTTATTAATTTGTAAGAAACATATTTTATATTTCCCACACGCTTGAAAGCAGTTTAATATTATGATTGATAGTTAATAAGCGCTCAACAGTAGAAGTGTGTTAAGTGATACTCGTACGCTGCCTCGTCTTTTGAGAGGCTAAACAAGCGTTATGGATGGTCCCGGAATGAGTTTATTTCAAGGTGCCGCGAGTATCCACATAAACAATAGTGCTCAAGATAGACTTGAAGAACAGGAGGAACTAGAAGACCAGAAACGAAGGAATGAGGAGGTCAGTTTTTTGTAAACTCGATTGATCTGTCAAAAACCAGTGTTCGTTGAGGGAATGTTGCATTGTGATTGTTTTAAAAACATTGTCATTACTTTACACTACTCTTTTTAGTTGAAACATGAGCTGGCTAATGCCTTCGATGACCTGCTTGATGATGATGAGGCTAGCTCAGTCAACAGTAGTGGCAATTATACATTGGATCCAGCTCAAAGCAATGGAGGTTTGTATTGTACACAACCGTATTTATCCTGTTCCATCTATTTAGGTCTCTTCTGCATTATTTAGATCTTAACTTACCCAGGTAGTAATTATCTGAACTTTAAATATTTTGTGTGTGTAACAAAATTTTTGTAGATTTGCTATTGTAGTAGATTGTAGATTGTGTAATATGGAGATTTGCTACACCATAAAAACCTAATACATAAATTTGTTTTCATTTACACTTGGGTTTCATTGTCTATTCACAATCACATTTCCTAATACACATAATTAACAGCTTGTTTATTTGTTTACTTCAGTCAAACAAACAAGGACAGGGTTGCCACCAACTTATGTGGAGTCCTTAAACCATTTAAAAGAGAATCAATGTGCCGAGTCTCCCAAGTTATACTGTGAGACTCCCAAGAACCATGTAGTTCAAATGAGGCATCCGGATGATGCTTTAAAAGCACAGTTCAGTCCATATGGAGCTGGTGATGGACAAAACCATTATTTCCAACAGGAGTTCAGAGGTAATAATGATGAGGCAATAATAATAATTTATATTAAGAATATAATGAAAAAGTTTATGTTTAAGTATCAATACTTTTAAAAAGAAAAGATCATTTATTAGCTAAGTTTTTAAACCTTATATATTTATTCTTATTTAACACTAAATTCTAATTCTACAATTGACCTCTTTATAATTTATTTGCATACATCAATCACTAATGTTCTTTATTAGTGATCGATGTTTGCATACCACAAAACTATTTTATACTTACTCTATACTGTAATATTATATACTCAATTGGCTTCTAAACAAAGTTTATTGTTTAAGGTCACATGAATGGTGTAAACAACTGTGAGAGGCAAGAATACATGAACAATGAACAACTTAAAGTTTTGTATGATGTAAGTGAAATTTGATGACTGATTTATATTTTAAATATGTATTTAGTCAGTGTTCAAAGTCCTACAAATATTATTAACATGAAGTTTTGTAAGTTTAGGAGAACAGATCTTTGTTATTCTTTTACATAAAAACTACCAAATAGATATGAAGGAAATTTGGCACATAGACAGATTATAGTCCGGACTATAGACAGATTATAGTCTGGACTAACACCAAAAACTTTTTACCCTGGCATTGTTTGCATAGCTGCTTTCCAAAACTAATACTATTCACTACACAGATAGCAGTTTCCTCAGCTGGTCGTGAAGCTAGCGCAATAAGGTACCACAGCTTTGGCCTAAAGCACAATTTTAGTCAGTAAGAGTCTGACACTTCTGCACTCTGGGCGACAAGTTATTTGATGATCCTAAAACCTTTGTGTTTGTCACCTCACAAAAAAGACAACAGTTTTTGTTGAAATTGTATTGTATATGTGATTTATGTTTGAATAGGTCAGAGTAAAAGAATGTCAACAGTTAGCTGGTCAGATGCAGAAACTGGATACAGAGATAGACAGCCTCCGAGCTCGTCTCACTGCTGCAATCAATGATCGGGACAAGGCTGAGTTGTCTCTTCAGGAAGCTCATCATTTGCTTGGTATTAAAGTTATTTTTATTTTTATTATCAACATGTAAGCAACAAAATATTTATGAGCAACAGCTTGAAGTCGCTATAAATGGAATGTGTTTAATTTTATAATAAGAAGTCTAATGGGAGCTAAATGTCGACTTGCTCTGTACCAGTGTTACGAAAACGAGACGCCTAATATCAAACTCGTATTTTAGTATAATGTTTTTCTACTTGAACTTGGTTTTTTTATTAACTTACTCAAAATATTTCTTGTAATTTTGTTTTATCTATATTATTATATCTATAACTTTACCTTTTTTAATTAGGTACATGTGAATTAGAATAAGTTATCTGTTGATATTGTATAGTTTGTTTATATTTTTTGTCTATTAGCCTTTTTATGTAATTCCATTAGTTTTTTATATTTAAAATGTAATGCATTTTATTACTTATGTTAAATTTCGATTTATGAACCTTTTGTAGCTTGTTGATATCTTGTATATTTTTACAGTTTTGACATGTAAAAATCATCATAAAATACGGTATTCTATTTCTTTTTTCCAGCATCAAGTAAGCACAAATTGATTGAGCTAGAACAACAAGTAACGGCCCTGTCTAAAAAGCTAGTGGAAAGTGACCAGGAGAAGGAGCAACTCAAACTAGAAGTCCGCTCTGCAAACATCAGCCTACAGGATGTACAACAAAAACTTCATACTCTACAGGTAATATTAGTTATGGTATATCTCCTAAAAGTACGCAAAAAATAATAGATATCAAAATTCTAGAAGGTCGAGTGTATAAATATAATATTTGTCTTAATATATATACATATCACATTCTGGGAGATGGTTTCTTTATCATTGAACGTAATGCTTGTATAAAGTTACCTTTTTTTGTCTCGAAATCTGTGTTTTGAATTAAGATCTAGCTTTGACTTCATAATTAGTTTTGTGAGAGTGTTTGTTATCTTAAATGTGTATTTAAAGATACTTTTTCTCTTTTTTTTCATTTTATGGATGTTTAACCATTGTTTTTATATCTTGCAGTCTAAAAGCTTACTCTTTAAAAATATTCATAAGTTTTGGAATTTTTTGGGTTGGAAATTTTATAGTGTACTTACCTAGCTCTAAAAATGTATTTCTTTTTAAATCGATGTTATTTACAGGTGGCCCACACACACGATACTGACGCTCTATTCAGAGAACAGCAGGATAGGTAAATAATTTTGTGCATTTTTATTTATTCATTCACGTTCTAATGGTAATGTTATTAATGAATATAACAATTTCAGGCATCGCGATGAAATGGAAAGGCTACAAAACGATTTGACTAAAGCTAAAAATAGACTAGACGAAAAAGTAAGTATTAATCGGGCTCAAGTATGTCCCAAACTTCCGTACATTCCATACATAATACTAAATAATATATATATTTGATATAATGTACAGGACAATGAAGTAAAGACATTAGAACGACGATGTATGGAGAAAGACAGGGAAAAGGAAGATATTTTGATAGAAAAAGGCGCCACGATAAACAGATTAGCCAGTGAACTAGAGGCTGCTCAAAGTAGACTTGTAAACGGAGAAACTACGAAACTAAAGGAAAGAGTATCTCAACTAACTACTGAAAGAAATGCGGCTAGAGAACAAGTTAAGGAGATGGGAGTAAGTTTTTTAAAATTATTATTTTTAATTCTTAATGGTAAAGATGAGAGAGTTTGTTTGATACAATTTTATTGATTTATAATATTATTTTCTCAGTTTATGCTAAGTGATATAATGACATTCATTAGCAGAAAATACAAACTTCTAACTTTATTAATGTTGGTAACAATTCTAATTAATTTCTACAAAATTAATTATTTTTCTCACAGTCTAAGCTAGAGCTGACTGCACATGAGTTAGTTCTATACAGGAACAAACTAGCAGGCACACAGAAAGAATATGAGCACTGGAGGACAACACTACATCAGATTTTAATGGAATCTTTACCTGAAAACACTTACCTTGGTAAGATGATGAAAAACATATTTCCCCTATAACTATAGCTTATTTAACAATAATTATTACACTTACTTAAAAGATTTTAAGTAGTTAAATCATACGGAATTGAATTATTTTCAGGTGAACCTCCATCTCCAGGAAAATTGTCAACCCTTAAAGAAGTCTTGAGTAGATACAAAATACAGATGCAGAAGTTATCGACGTTACAAGAAGAAATAAGTAAAAGGTATGAATGAAATACGAATAAATAATTAGCATACCATTAAACTTACAGATTCCTATTACATTTTTTGTTCTTACAACAACTATATTCTACTGTCGATTGAATTCCATTACGAGTTGCATTTCAGACTCGAAAAGTTTATAGGGTGACCAAAAATTGGTACTTAAAAAAAATATTTTTCTATCCTACTAATATTGTAAATCTATAGGTTTGTAAGAATGTATGGCCGTATGTTTGTTATTCTTTCACAAAAACGGCTGTACCGATTTGGTTGAATTTTGGTACCTGTGTAGATAGGTAATACCCTGGATTAACACATAGACTGCAATTTTATTAACATACCACGCGGACGGAGCCGCTGGCGGAAGCTATATAAACGTATGTGTATTTTGCATATCCATTTATTGATTACAGGGATAAAAAGATAGAACAGCATCGCAAACAAGAATTAGATCTTCGAGCTAAATTCGAGGAACAGAAAGGTCTGGAGATGCAGCTCAACTCGCGAATGGCAGTGTTACAGAATAAACTCGAGCTATTGGGCAGTAACTCTGACAGCGAACTACTGGAGAACTATAAACAACAGAATGAGAGTCTACAAGCTGAACTCGAGGAAGTCAGGAGTGAATTGAAAAATGTATGTTTCACACTTTCTTATAACTGTCTTAACGTATAGTTTAGAAATAACTGTGTCTAAGTGTGGGACTGCTATGCTTCGGCATGAGTAGGTCGGCTCGACCGGACTGATACCACGGCCTCATACAAAACCGGCGTGAAACCACATAAAACCACAGAGTTTTGTTCCGCCGTGTTAGTGCGGTTACCGGAGGCCCAATTCTCTCCCGCCGGATTAGGGTTTGGAGATTTAGGGATGTCCCCCCAAAAGGTCGGCAATGCGGTCGTAGCTCCTCTGTTTTTGCGTCCATGTGTGTCCATGGCCGTCCATGACCGGCACTGATTGCTTTCCATCATTTATTAATCCGTCTGCTCGTGTGTCGTCGCATCACATAAAAGAAAATAACAAGGAGGTTTTAATTTTTGTTTTGGCAGTAGTCTTCTATACCTAAATGGCGAATGTGGGTGTTGTTGTTACGAACAAAGAAGATTTTTATAATAAAATGTTAATTACTTTCTAGTTGGATCTCAAACACACTCAACTAGAGTTAGACTACGAGAAGTTGAAGTCAGAAAAAGGCAGCCGCGCGTCTATCGTGCAAGAAGCGAATGCGGATTTGTTGCGTGAATTAGAACGTTACAGCGGACAGCTCAAAGACACGCTCAAGGAGAATGGGGAGTTGAAAACTTTATATTTACAGGTATGTAACAAGATAATAATGTTTGTTCAATTATCCAAAAAGTGTTTTGCTTAAACTTTGCTGCAAGGACTCAGCTGTCCAATTCTCCGTCTGTCTCTGTTTATCTCTCGTCCATTTGTCATGTACCGTGAAAACAAGATAATGGAAAATTGAACAGATAATATATTTCTGTTGCCACTAGAATAAAATAAAATGTCTCATAATGTAAGTTTGCCCGAAACGTGAGTTTAGTTTAGAATCCTTCGTGCGAGAGTACGACTCACAATTTTTGTTTTCTGTTAGTACTAATATTATATACAGTAAAACTTTGTTTCTTTCTTTGTAACGAATAGGTTAAAAAGTACTAGACCGATTTAAAAAATTCTTTCATCACTCTAAAGCTACATTATCTGAGTAAAGCTACTACAGTACCTACGAGTAGCATAGGCTGAATTTTATTTAGGAAAAAATTAAGCTTCGTCATATATTTGGGTTTTTCGGACACAAAGGTGTTAAAAAATCAACCAGAAAAGTAAATAAACCCTAATTTTGATTTTTCGCATTTCGCATTCCTATCACAAATTCGACATCTACGGGGACAAAGACGCGGGCTGAAGCTAGTTTGTGATAAATAAAATTTATTCCAGGCGTGTAGCTCACGAGACTCAGTATCGAGAGAGCTAAAAGACCTACAGTCAAAAACTCAAAAGGAGAAGGAATTCTACAAGTCACAAGAGAAGGAATTTGTAGAGCGAATAGAGAAACAGAAGCAGCACATAGACAAGTTGATGGCGGAACTGAGCGACTGCAAAGAGGAGTTGGATAGAGCCAATAAGAGAATATCGGAGTTGCAAAGAGAGTTTACTGATAAACAGAGAGAGTTCACTGAGAAACTTGATCAGTACTTACAAGGTAGGTGTTTATGAGTTGTTGTTTATTAAATTTAATGTTATTAATAAATACAGGTTGACTGGATATTAGTCTACACTAATCTTATATATATATAAAGCTAAAGAGTTTGTTTGTTTATTTGAACGCGCTAATCTCCGAAACTACTGGTTCGAATTGAATAATTATTTTTGTGTTTGTTAGTCCATTTACCGAGGAAGGCTTTAGGCTATAAAACATCACGCTACGATCTATAGGAGCCGGGAGCGGAACAGTAGCCAGCTAATAAATACAACTTTTCTGGATACTTGTAAATATTATTCCCATCAAAGATTCGATCAAAATATCTATTCTTTTATTTTGAAGTTTCCATACATCATAACATGTTTGTAGCCTTTAAGGGTCGATAATACGAGTTATTTTTTGGCTATCGTTCCACAGAACGTTTTTTAAAGATTTTCGACTTTACACTGAAACAATAAAGCTGAATATCTAATAAAAAGAGTTGGTTGATCTGCCTTTGTACTGTATGGTAATAAAAATATTATTTAACAGATGAAAAGTCTGCAATGCGAAAAGAGAGGGAGCCATGTGCGCAGTGTGAAAAGCACGTGAAACATATCAAGTATTTAGATGATCAGCTTAGCAAATGTACTATAAGGTTGGGTAAGTGGACTTGGGCATGTTTATTTAGAAACTATGTAGATATATAATATGTATAAAAAATAACGGTATGTTTCGACACGGCAATGCGCTTGAGACTCTGGTACCGCAGGTGACCTTGGTCTCACCGCGGCCTCGGTCCAGAGCAGGAGAAGGAACGGGGGGTTTTTAGTCAGTTATCTAAAATCAGATTTTCTCCTGACAAAAAAAGAAAGGTGGCCTTGGGCGACGCAGATCACTTACCATCAGTAGATTCGTCAGCTAGTTTGCCACCTGTTCTATAAAAAAAGTTACACCTACCCAACACTCCTTTTTTAATTATTCTTAACTCTGCATTGTAGCCATTCCTAATATCAAACCAAAAAAACTTCAAAACCCACTAAGGACTTTGAGTACCCACAGTATGATTCATTTAATACTCATTTTTTAGCAGTTATACTTTAAAAAAAATAAGTTGCCTTGCCCGACATTAATAATTTCTCTTGTGTCATGAATGGGTTTACAAACATACATTGCTAGACACATAACACCCAATCCATAACCAGATTAACAATTTATGGGTCACACTGCGTTGTTTCGTGCGGGTATCGAACCCGCGCCACGTTGCACGGCAGGTGCTTATTTGTTGGACCTTCACAGACTCCACATCCACTATTTATGGATCCCAAGAAGGCCGAGAAAAAAAAATACTTAGTAAATACTAGTAACTTATAATAATTTTCCACATCCGACAGCATCTCAAGAAAGCAACGAAACGTTAATGAAAGAGTTGAAAGGCAAGGCAGAATTCTTCCAGCAGTACATAATAGACCGGTTCAATAAACTACGTGAGCAGCGCAGTATCGGTACTAATACCGAGGAGCGGCCATCTAGCCCACAGTCTCAGCCCTCGGAACATTCTAGCATTGAACAACTTGTTCAGAATTGTGACGATGCCATGGCTGCTAAGGTTTGTAATAAGATGTTTTTAAAAATAAAACGTTGCTCACTTTAGGATTTTTTCCTGTGTCATGGGTGCGGTTACAAATATATAATTTCACATACACATGACACACAGACCCGGAACAACAATTTGTGGATCACACAAAGTGTTGTTCCGTTCGGGAATCGAACCCGCGACACGTTGCACGGCAGCCCAGCCACCGCACCAACCGTACAGTCAAAGTCAGATAGTCTTATGGTATAAATTAATAATAGTCACACATCAGCCAATAAGTGCCAACTGCTGAGCAAGGGCATTAATCACAACGCTTGCTCAAGGCGAATTGGCGATTTAAAACTGTCGAGGTCCCCTCAAGATGTTTTTTCACCGGTATTTTTGTTTTGTGGAGTCAAAGACGAGAAAGAAGTGGTTGATAAACCACTGCGCCGACAGTCAAATTGTAAAATGCATTTGGCAGCAATAACATATCGACTTTTAGGACTTAAATGTACCACACAACTTAATAAAAGCTTACAGTTAAATGAGTGCGATTTATGAATGTTATAATCATAATCATTTTAATTATAATAATTTATTTATGGATTTTTATATATCATATTTAATTAACATTTTTTGTCAAGCAACTATAAATTTTACTTTTCTATAAAAAAATCGGGCAATTTTCTATTAATTTTCATTTAAACTATATTGTAGATAATACTTTCCGTTCACAGACTGCCCTTATGATGAAAGAGAAAGCAATAAGAGATCAAATTGCTGAAAAGTTTACACTAGAAATGAAAACAGTAGAGATGAACTGCGCGAGACGAATTAAAGAGATTGAGAACGAACATATTGAAACTGTAAGCAAAATAAAAGAACTGCTTGAAAGGAAAGCGAAGGAGGTTGAGGCGCTAAAAGAGTTTATACTCGCAGAAAGAGCTAAAGTCACACAGATACTGGAATCGAAGGAAAGTGAAATATCAGAACTCATCAAAGAACACAATGAACTACAAGTTGAGTGCCAGAAAGCTAAGGACACTATCTTGGATTGGAAGCAAAAAGCAGAGAGGTACAAAGAAAGAGCGTCACGTCTCGGTTCCTTAGAAGATGTACTAAAACATGAGAGAGAAGATTGGAGACAAAGAAGTAGTTCAACGACAAAAGAATGTATGGCCATGAAGACAAAAATAGCAGAATTACAAACGAAATTTGCTCAATTAGATCAGAAATATGAAAAATTGCAGGCCGAACATAAAGTTATACAAGACAAGTACAAAAATGCTAAGAAAACTATTTTTACTTATAAGGTAGGTTAAGATAATCTAAACTTATATTATAACTGAAGAGTTTGTTTGTTTAAACGCGCTAATCTCCGGCACTACTGTTTCAAATTGAACAATTATTTTTGCGTTTGTTAGTCCATTTATCGGGGAAGGCTATAAAACACGCTAATTTTACCTAGTTTTCAATACTTTTCCAATCCAACATAAGGATAGTATTCATAGATGTATCTATTTTCAGGATTATGTAACGAAAAAAGATGCTCACGTGAACAATGAAATGAACAGAATACAAGACGAGTATAGGAAGATATTTATAAAGCTGCAAAATCAGTTAACTTATCATATAAACTGCAGGCTGCAGGAAGAGAGGAAGGGGAAACAAGCGCAGGCGCAGAATTCGCAACAAACCGATGTAAGTTTGATACATACAATTTTCTATATGTCCTCATTGTAAGTACCTAATAGTATATTATATGAAAAGTGTGTAAAGTTGGTGGTGTTGGTGGCAAAGGTGCATTGGGGTCCTCGGGAACATTGGGAACCTCGCGTAACGTCTCGACGTTACGCGAGGACGATACTTAAGGAGCCGAGGACGGTAATCATCAATACACGTGTATCATACGACGTTTTTCAACACACTCCTAAATAAAACAATACTTAAAAAACTTTAAAAGAGAAAACGAAAACGAGTTGTGAAAAATGTTTCGTAATGGCGGGAAAAATTAATCAGTATTCCTATGCGCGGGCATCGGCCATAGACTAAAAATGAAGTTTCTTTTTTTTGGGCTTTTCGCGGATAGGTATTTAGTGCAAGTTTATGCGTAACTCGACCAATAATTTTAAAAAAACCTATTACTCACTTATGAATAGTAATGAAAAAGTCAGTTTGGTTTATAGGTGTCATTACGTGCCTAATTGTCATGGGATTAGGGCCACTTTATGAGGAGGTGTGTTGAAAAATCTATTTTTAATTTACAATTTCAGTATACTGATAGAATAAACAAGCTCAACGATGATTTCACGCGGCTGACGCAGTCAAACTTTATGGACGGGCCAGACTTCAACTGACGACGGACTGGCCGGCGATTGCAAGTGACGGTCACAACCAAACAACTATTTCAATGTAAAACAAGCAACGGCCCCAGTTTTTGTACTTAATCTAGATTTACAAACATTTTTGAAAGTATTATGAAAAGTTTTAATATGGATAATGCAAGGCATATTTTTCAGTGAGAACTGATATAACGTTAAGACTGTATATAACTATGACAATCGCTCAAGCCCCACATAGAATAATTTCATAGAATTATCGAATTGAATTAAATTTAGATAATCAGATCATTCCATTTAGTGAATTGTTCCTGTGATAGTTAAGTACATTGTAGAGTAATGAAATGAGAACAGTATTACACAGTAAAGTGCAAAAATATCTCACATTCCTCGAGACATGTCCAACTTGTATGATCATGTGAACACACAGGTACCTATGTACCTTTTCGTGTCTATGGCCTTTTTTAAGAGAGACTTGTTATATTAAATGTAATGTTACTTTTCAATTATTATTGTGTTAAATAATAAAAGCAATTGAATTGTTTTCATTAAAACAAATGACGGAATTCTATTTTATTGTATTGTATTGTATGGAGTAATTATATCTGTTATGTAAATAAAAATACCATTTGATAAAATTAGTTGTTTATTTTTTTATGTAGTACTTTGAAGGAACAAAAGGCATTTTGGCGACGACGCAGGGAATGTCTTTCCCTCTAATATTTACTAAGAGTTCCGTGCCTGCCTTCTTCAGAGCTTCGCTGACGTAGCCCATAGCAATGTTGACTCCAAGCGACGGGGCAGGGCAACCGCTAGTGACGCTACCGATGGTTTCCGAAGTTTTACCGTCTTTCAACACAGCGCTTTTTCTAGCTGGTGGTCCATTTTGTAAAATGATCCCTACACGTCTTTTAGATACGCCTTCCTTGATCTGACGCAAGATTATTGACGATCCTGGGAAGGTGTCATCAGTGCGCCTACGTTTCGCGATAAGCCAGGTTAAGTTCGCTTCGACTGGTGTAACACTTTCATCGATGTCGTTGCCGTAGAGACATAATCCGGCTTCTAGCCGCAACGAGTCCCTCGCTCCGAGTCCCGCAAGTTTGACGTCACTGGACTGTAATAATGCTTCAGTAACGTGTTCTGCATCTGCAGCGGGTATTGATATTTCCACACCGTCTTCACCTGTGTATCCACATCTTGTGACACGACACTCAACACCGGCTACTTTGCCCAATTTTGATGTCATAAACGTTAAGTCTTCTAGCTTAATATCAGTGAGATTCTGTAACACTGCAGCTGCCTTAGGTCCTTGCAATGCAATCAAAGCTCTCTGGCTGGTCTCCCAGAATTCTACATTCACGTCGTTACCTTTCTTCCTGAATATCTCTGAAGTCTCTCTCATATGCTCTTTGTCGACTTTCATTCGTCCGGCGTTGGAAACAACGTACAAAGTTTCTGCATTCACCTTAGTAACAATCAAGTCATCTATAATTCCACCTTTGTCGTTCAAGAACACGGTGAGGGAACTGGACCCATCTCGCATACTCTTTAGATCAACTGGGCATATAGACTCGAACCAAGATAAACAATCCTTGCCACGAACATTAGTCTGTAGCATGTGAGACACGTCGAAAATTGAGGCACTTTTTCTTGTGAACAAGTGGGATTCGGACAAACTTAGATCCGAATATTGCACTGGTAGAAGGAAACCCGCGAAATCAACGACTCTTCCTCCATATTTCGTGTGCAAATCGAATAATGGCGTCTTCGTTGCCTTAGCTTCATCACTAAACCACCGTAAGGACACAGCTCCAGGAATAAGTTGCTTGGGAGCAATTACTTTTGGAGCAAGCAGAACTCGGCTACGTGCTATCGAACACATTTTCACAGTCCAAATTCTCACAATAATATGATTACAACATCGGACGGCCAAACAATATCTGTAGTCGTTATGAGAAAAGGTCAGTGGTCAATCGGTAACTCCTGATAAGTAGAAACGCTACTTCGTTAGTGGTGAGACTGTTTATTGGAAACACTTTACGCTATCGAAAACAAATAGTGAGCTAATGATAATTTGATCTTGCTCTATTACCATTAGGTAGGTACATATTTCATTACGAAACTTGTTGACAATTTTTATTCTTATTTAAAAACTTACAACATACCTAAAAGTTATATATTTCCAATATTCAAGACAAAGTTGTTATATACTGGATACGTCTATTTTATGATATTCGACATCCGTGACTTTGTTGATAATAATATATCAATTTATTTATAAGAAAGTCGCGTTAGTTACTTTACTTATAAATCAAGAACGGTTATACCGATTTAGCTGAAAATTAGAAGGGAGGTAGTTTAGAGCCAGGAGAAGGACATATGATAGGATAGGATAAAGTACCTAGGTAGTGTAGGGTAGGTAGAGCCGGGTAAGTAGAGTAGAGTAGGTATGGTAGGTAGTCAAATGACGGGAGCGACGCCGCGGGTAAGAGCTAGTATAGATATAAAAACTACGATACTTGTAAATACTGGTGCAATAGTAGCAGCGATGAGGGTCGCCCGAATATATCTAGGTAGGTACATATAAGATCTATAAGACAGTATATTATCGACGTTATTAAACAGTCTTGTAATTGGCTAAAATTGGTGGTACAGTGTTACATGTTAAGCCAACCTTTTCCAGTATCGTTTACATTACTTCCGACTATGTTGATTATGCAGGCATGGTACTCATATCTCCTAAATTAAATATTTTATTTGCAACAAACTACCTAAATCGTTTTCTGAAAACTTATGATAAATGCATGAGTTTATTTTGAGAGTTGACAGAGTTTAAACAAATGAAATAAAACAACAACATTAAACAAACAAAATCTATTCTAAATCTTTATTTTCACCATTTTTACTATTATTTAATAAATCTGAATACTCTTCCGGTGTCAACAATTCATTTTTAGTAGCTTCAGAAATAGCGATACTAGATAATATGATAGCAATGTAACCATCAGCATCAGGAAACTCCTTCAAAAGTTCAGGATGGTTCACTAATTCTTCATTCACTTCTACCAATGTACCCTTCATACCACATGGAACATCAAAACTTGTGCCATCTTCATATTCTATCTTGCATATAATAGATTTAGGGTTCAGAGCCTGGCCTCCTTTCTTACCCTTACCCTTTACAGAATTCTTCAACCTGTTTACATTACCTACTGTATAATTAATTTTATACTCTTTGCTTTTAGTAAAAAAGAAATGACTTGGTGCCAGACACAATAGGGCAATCCGGTTTGAATGGAACATTATCATAATGTCATTATTCTTAATTCCATCAACATTTATAATGTATCTCTTACTAAAATATCTCTCCGTAAATGACTTAAGATTGTTTAGGTCTGGTATCGAATCTAATATGTTGGGTTCCATTGTAGTCATGTTTTAATAAATGCTGGTAAAATGCTAGTTGGTTAAGTTATTGGTTAGCTCTCTCTTGCGCTAATATTCTAGCTCGAATTTCTGCGTGTCTACGACGAGACTCTTCGAGATTGGCTTTTTGTCTTTGAAGGCGCTCAGCTTTCAAACACTTTCTCATATCCCGATCATAATCATTGCAATATCCCATGAACTTTCTAAATGGATGCTGTAACAAAAATTTAACCATGAATTTTCTTTGCTCTCATTAGTGGATAAATTACAGGTAATAGACGTTACAATCTACGAAAGAAAACAATGAAGCATGACTTATAAGGTTATAATTTAAAGTTTCGGATCGAATCAAGACTTGCGACTAAAAATAATTGCATTAAATGGCTATTGTTACATATATTGTTATTTTTATATTGTTATGCAATAATAATTTTATCTTACCTACCTCGCTGTGGCAGTCCATCAACTTTCGTATCAAAACATTGCATTCGTCTGTATGTAAATGGGCTGCCAAATCTGTGTGCATAACTAGGTATTTATAATATTTCTGTATATACCGATGTATTAATTTAATTAACCTTTTAGGTCTGCTTTCCAAAAGCTTAAATATTTAAACCAGACAGAAACTGAAACTATCAGCTCAACAAGCTTCGTGCTTTGCTTCGTGGATTGACATTTAGATTTATTTGACAATGACAGAGGGTTTTATTCTTAGGTCATTTTGACATCTGACGGATATGACGCCATTTTTTTTTCTTTATTTAAAAGAGCTTATTTGCTGTTACAAATATGACGCTCAAAATGACGCCATTATAGAACAAGAAAATGTTAAAAAGAAAAAAAAATGCCATAATTTTGGGCTAAATCCAAAGACCTTATACTGTTTTAAGTACAAAGGTCTTTAGCTAAATCACATCTCGCCATTAAATTAATTCAGTTTTCTATTTCTCTTTCAAGTTTACTCGCAGCAATATTTGAAATATTATACCAGTAAATAAGAGGCATAATAGTTTATTACTATAAATATATAACTGGGGAAAATAAAACACCGGTTCTATTTATTTTGTTTTTACTTAAATACATAGTCACATTGTGTCTCTTTAATAACTAACAAAGAAATTGTAACGGCAAATACCGTTTAAGTACGGGATTTATTAGACCTAGTAGTAGGAATACCTACATTTACCTTAGAATAGATACAAGAATAACTAACAAACTTCATCAATAATGACTAGTAATTTGTTGCATTTTTGAGACAAGTATAAAAAAACACCTTGATAATTAGGATTGGAAGTTGTCTTGCGTTTTCTATCATCACCACTAACAAACGCTCGAAGAAAAATCACAATAAAACATACGATACGACATCATTCATCTCAAAACAGGAACAAGCGAGTATTAAGCAAAATAAATTACAGATAAATACAGAAATGCGATGTAACGAAAATAACTAGTGATTTGATGCCCGATAAGATGAAGAAATGCAAAATGTGCCCAAAATAAATGTCCAATCCAATTGGCTAAAATTAAAAAGCGGGTGTATAGTGTGGTGCGGGGTTCGTTCGTTCGCGGAGGCATCAACTCTTGGGCATGCCTTGGGGCGTGGCGGTCTCCACCATCTTCTTGTACTTGCCGACGAGCTCGGGCAGGTCGTAAGCGATGGCGACATCGAGCCGCGTGATGGGACAGCCCCGGAAGTACGTGCACGTCGCCGATAGCTGCTGGAACTCGAACAGGGGATTCAACCGGAAGAAGTCCCGGTACGTTTCGGGATCGGGCAAGTCGTACCTGATAAAAAAACGTTGGTTATTAATTATTATCTTGACGTTAGGAATGCATGACGATGAAGTGCAGAAGTTGTAGTAGTTGCTAAGATTTCTATACAAAATCAGACTATGCTGACGCAGACGCGGGGAAGCAATAGGTACAGTTAAAAAGTAATTATAAAAAATTGGAAAAGGTAATAAATATTCAGGGCACATGACTGATACCTTGAGATATTCGTGAGTGTACTAAGACCCTCGTAGATGTGGTAGTTCTGAGGGTTTTCAATGATGGCGTCGGCAATGATTTTCCTATTGCCGAATATTGTCTTGTGATTATAGTACGTTGTCAAGTAACAGTCAACCATTTTCGCGTGGTTCCTCACACGAACCTGAAAAACAAAAAATATTACATTTTTAATCTAGTTTCGAATTTGCCTGCATTTTCATGCTACTACATTTAAGTGCACATTATAATACATTACTTCAGATAAAGTACTCACAGCGAATCTCCTAGCGCTTGCGATCTTATTCTCAATGCGCTTATCAATGGCTTGCCGCAAGTCTCTCAGGAGCTCTCTCTCCTGGGCTTGCAGCAGGCGCACAGGCGCGCCCGCCTCGTACGGCATCGACCACAGCGACACCGTGTACATGACCGGAGGCTGCGCGGAGCTCATCAGTGGCGAGATGTTCCAGATCAGAGCGCTTTGTACGCGCATTAGCTCTTCTGGCTTCACCGTGTCTGCTTTGTTCAGCACAATGCGTGTCTACGAGAAAACAACAAAAAGTTATAAGGTAAGCGCTTTGAATGATCTAAGCCCGAAATCATTTCTCATAATTAGTTCAAATATTCTCGAAAGTAAAGTAAACATGGGTGCGGTTAATATTTGAGATCTTTCGAAATTTTTCTTTTTAAAGTTATAATACCTATTTATTTTTTTAAATAGTTATATTTAGACAAAGTATTTGAATGCGGTTATTTATAAACGTTACTCTAGCAATTTCTAGCAATTACACGCATACCAACATTTAATTCCTTTGTCGATCACAAACATACCTGGCACCTGGTCCAAAATGAACAACAGGCGATGACAGATGAAGTACTCACTCATACTCAATACTATGACAAGAATGTATGCAATCTGGCATGCAAATGGATTTCCTTTGCCTATTAGAAATGATTGCCATGGGCAAGAGAATATTTATCTTTGTACTGTTTAGGCAAACGAATTTTACTTGACCCACAATACGCACATTCCTCATACATATATTTTATCTCTGCTGATATACCTCATCGTTTTAAACTACGATTGCCAAAGTGGAGATTATGCCAAACCACTCTTTTGTAGGGGACACCCTGTTTAGACGGTAATGGGTGGTGGTTATTGGCATATTTAATTTCAGCTTTAGACAAAGATAGTAAAGTTAATGACGAATTCAGTTTTTGTTGTAAGGACAGAATTTTTGGCAGACAGAACATATTTTTAGCTGTTTACCTGTGACTCCCTGCCTTTGAGTTGGTCGAGAATAGCTTCAGTCTCGGGACCCACGTCCAGTTTAGAAGGATCGTAAACTAAGAAGATGATGTCGGCGCGGTCAATGAACCACTGGCAGGCGTCGTTGAAGGGGAAAACACGAGACACTTGCTTCCTTACTTCCAATATTCCAGGAATTTCTACGATGTTCACCTGAGGTTAAATGCAATATAATTTACATGCGGATATTGGTGTTTATAGTCAACCAATGAATAATGCAATTGTACTTACCTTTTCTAAGATTTTGCTGGGATACCTTAAGCCTCTCAGACGCTCCTCCAGTCCTTGACCGAACTTTTGAAGTCCTGAGAATGTCCAATCAGCTGCTAACTGAGTGCCATCCAATACTTCCGGCTCCTTGCCGTGCATGAGGATGTTAAAGTAAGCAGGGGATGGTTCCGCTCCTAAAACCCAAAATGCACTTGTAAAAATATGTTCGTATTTAAAGAATATTTGTCAAGTTGAAACCGTTACCTGTCCTGAGAGACCATTCAGTGAATTCCAGTCCAGTCAAGTAGTTCAAGATGCTAGATTTGCCACCGCTCCAGGGACCCATGAAGAGTACCAAGGGCTTTGAGAATATTTCAGGGTCGCCAAAATGCCTGTTACTCAGATCTCTGTACTTGTAAAGTACTTCCAACGGTTTGATGGAGTTCTCGTACAACCTCTTCAAATCTCTGAGTACGATGTCAGCGGATTTTTCAACAGTTAATTCATCTTCACTCGCATCCTCGTCTAATCTAAGAATTTTGGTGATATGATCGCGAGATCTTAGGTTTTCGGGAATATCAATGGTCTGAAATAAAAAATGTGTGGAAGAAGTAAACAGTTAGATGAAATGCCTTTATGCTCTTAAAATAGTTAGCCTTAGAATAAAATATTAAACAGAACCTCCATACATGTAATGTCAAAAATAGATCTGTTTTTGTATTTAGATCGGTTATTCATAAATGCCTTTGCAAAAATGATGTCGTTACGCGATAAATTGTGTTCATCGAATATTGTTTTGAATATTATTCAAAATATGATTTGATACTAGCACCTATTGTTTTTTTTAGTGATGATATGTATTTGAATTCATTTAATTATTACAACATTAGACTGAATTGATCAGAACAATATACAAATGCACTTACAATAAGTAAATCTTCCTCTGGCGCTCCTTCTTCCTCCTCAGCTTCTTCTGCAGGCTCTGATTCTTCTTCACCTGCTTCTGCTGCCTCCTCGGACTTTTCCCCAGCTTCTTCCTTACTATCTTTGTCTGCTGCTTCCTCGTCTTCCTGTGACTTTTCTTCTACGGCTCCTTCAGATTCCTCTGCAGACGCCTCTTTTTCTTCGGATTCACCTTTCTCTTCTGCTGACTCCTTATCATCGACAATATCTTCTCCAGAATCGGCTTTCTCTTCTCCAGACTCCTCCTTATTTTCTCCTGAATCATCTTTTTCCTCTGTAGTTTCATCTTTGTCCTCAGCAGTTTCGTCTTTGTCTTCTTTCGATTCATCTTTATCCTCTACTGACGCGTCTTGTTCTCCAGACTCGTCTGCAACTTTTTCTTCTTCAGATTCGTCAGCTTTAGCTTCTTCTGAGTTTTCTTGTTCGCTCTCTGTTTCTTCTTGAGTATCATCAGACTTTTCTTGAGATCCATCGTCCTCTTCTTTTGTCTTATCATCATCAGCTTCGTCGTCCTTATTTTCAGCGGATGAATCTGCGGCCTCAGCAGACTTGTCATCATCTGCCGCTTCTTGACTAGCATCATCAGCTTCTTTACTGTCTTCTTCCTTTACTTCTTTGCTATCTTCTTCTTCGGATCCTTCTTGGGATTTCTCGTCGTTACCTTCTTCTTTTGCTTCGTCTTCCGTTTCTTGACTCTCTAAAATAAACCAAAATAGTTTTCGCTTTAATAGTCACAAATATACAATCCAAATTAATATCCTCTCCAAAGTATTTGTACCCGCACGAATAAATCAGGGTGTATGTTAAAAAAAAAATGTTGTGAGGTATTTATAATGAAGAGAAAATACATGGATTATCAAGACTTCCACGAGTATTATAGTATTTGTGTTATAAATATATATATATATAAGATTATATGGATTCCTGTTTAATTACAGATTTTTTATATAATATGTTCGATCGCTACTGTTTTTCTTTATGTAGGTACATACATTATAAACATGTCGCAGCCAACTAGTTTAAAGAGCCCTTCATCTAAGAATATGAAAGACGAGCAATTCGACTAACCAGTTTGGTACCAGCTTTAAGAGGAAGGGTAAAGGGATTAAGATAAAAATAAGAATTTCAGAATGTTTTAGTAAGGTAAGAACTGCGTTACGAATAGAAATGGAATTGCTTTCAGAAATAAACTCCCCCTAGATTT